CCGCTCTTAAATAATTATCCAAGTCTATAATAAAATATTACAATAAATATTGATTTAGTCGTCCTAAATATAATTTAGGGTCAATTTAATTATGTTTTTTCTTTTTAGTTTTTTTAAACTATATTTTTAAAACAGATTTAAAAAACCAATTTTATAACAAGAGAAAGGGGAACAGATGTGAAAGTATAAAGAAAAACATAACTTAAAGTTTTTTTTTAAATAGAAAAGAAATATAATTTTGAAAAACTATTCTTATGTATCAAACGTGTTTGTATTTTGTTCTTAAATATACAAGAAAAATTTAGTTTCCATAAAATAGGAAACAAGTAATTTTAGTTTTGGTTTACAATTTTTCTGTTGTTTAACTTTTTAAAATGATCTAAGTAATCATTTAATAGTGAAGTAATATCTATCTATCTAATATCACACAAAAAGGTTATATCAATCAAAGTTAATATTATTTTTAAAAAATAAAAATAAATCATATTTTTATATCGCTAATTAATCCCCTTTCGTATAATTCTTTCTAATAATTTCTAGAAGTGGAAATAAATTAAGCAATTTGTTGAAAACTAATACCTCGAGATAAAAGTATTGTTATTCATCTATAGTATAAAATAATATTATCAATATTGATTTATCAATAATATTATTAATACATCTATAAGTTTTTATTTAATAATAAGAAATATATGTACAGTTATATTTTCTATTAAAAATATATATTTATAATTTTAATTTATATATTAATATATTAATTTAATAGTTAAGTATTATTGAAGTTAAGGAAATGAAATCCAAGTTTCATCGATAATATTTTTATTTTTATTTAATATTATATCATCACTTTATACTAATGACAAATATTTGCATCATTCACTACCAATAAAATATCATGTAAGTAAAAATCATTACATTTTAATAATACTATATAATTATAATATTATAAATATTTTCACATACAATAAAAAGAACTTTTTGGAGATATTTTAAAAAATGTTATCAAATTATATGTAAATATTATTAATTTATTTTTGCGATATATTATCAATTATTATATATAATCTATATTGTTAAATATTTTTAATACTATTTTTATTTCATTAAATAATATTTTTTAAATGTTATCTTTGTAATATTTTAATAATGATATTAAGGTTTAGTTAACAATATAAAATAATAATTAATTTTAATATAGATGTTATTATTACTTATAGTTTATGATTTTTAGTCTCTTACAAATTTTTAAGATCGAATATATCTTTAATAAATTACATGCTAATATCAAACTCTATTTACCTTAAATATCAATTTATGATTATATATATTTATTATGTCTTATTTATTTTCTTGATATAAAATTTTAATTTTGAGAAGTAATTAGAAATTGAAAAATTTCTCTTTATATAATACTTTTTTACTTGATATAATATTTTAATTTTAAAATTAATTAAAAAATAATATTAAAATAAAAAAAGTTACTTTATACACGTAACAATCTCAAGATGACTTTATTCACATCATCAATGTTGTTGACGTAACATTATCCATATGAGATGCCATCAAGTGTGTCATCATTTTTGTAGAAAACTAACAATTAAGAACTAAAATTAGGCAATTTAAAATTTATAGGAAAAAGTAAATAAATTATAGACACTAAAAACATAAAGAGGGTAAAAAATACAAAATATTTAAACTTCAAAATAATACAAATTCTTCCGAAATGCTAATACATGTTTCATTTATTGCATTAGGTCACAATAGTAACTCCTCGTCACTAAAAGGATTCATGAATGCATCTCACGCATATTTTATAAGGAAAAATGATACATCCTCTCAAACTCATTTTTATTTTCCGAAATATCTTCTGACAATATGTATCGGCTGGGAAGTTAAATATAAATAAATATTTTACTTTATATAAGTTAACACGTGTTAATTTTGTATGCTTTCAGAAGAATTTTCTTTGTTATAACATAACTATATATCTCCAGGAAACATATAAACATGTGGAAAAAGAAAATCTTTCTTTGATTTTTTAATTATTTTTTATTTTAATCTTTTGCCCCTTCAATAATATGAGGTGCTGTTCCTTATATTGTTTATTTAAAATTTGTTATCGGCATAAAGATGAGAAAAGCAATAGCAAACAGACATAACAGCAGATTGTGCACAGAAAGAAGCAGATCCTAAGCTATTGAAGATTGATTAAATGAAGAAGCCTGAGCGATCGAGGGAGAAGAGCACGATCATTATACTTTATAAGAATAGTCCACGCTGCAAGTGCAACAATTGAATTCTGTGGGCAATAAAGGAGATGAAACTGTCCTGCTGAAAT